AATACACAAAAGTATAATGGACAGGATATACCACATGTTCTCCAGCACACTCGATATATCTCTCGTAATGGATGTACAAATTTTATACATTAACTCGTGTATGTAAAATGTTTAGAATAAAAAATATCAACGTAACATAAGTTAATGATTTATAAATACAAAATGCAATAATGTTTAATGTTTTATTAAATTAAAAATTTATAATAAAAATTAATCTTTATTATTAATTTAACTTTACATAAATTTTTATAAATAAAATGTTAGATAAAGAACTGTGTTTTACATTAAATTATTGGTTCGTTTAAATAATCAAAAATGTCTGATGGGAAAATGATGTAATTTTTGTTCTGTTTGTATTCTGTAAAGGCAATATGACTCAATTTTTTTATTACCGTTGGAATACTACCAATTCGAGTGAAAGTCTTAAAGTTAATCGTGCGGATTCTCCATTTCGAGAATTGTCCTTTAACCAAGTTTACAACGCGCCATTTAAAATCAATAAAAAGACAAAGTGGCATCTCCTGTCCCGTAATATAATAAAACTATATTACTTTGTGTAGCTTTCGCTCTTTATCGATTGTGGGAGCGAAAACGAAGTGAACGTTCCAGTAATAGCGAAACGGATGAACATTGTTTCGGTTAAATCTCGCGTTTACCCTTGATATCTCAAATGTCACTACTGAGAGTATCATAAGACTGACAATTCGAAAAAATAAAGTTCAAGCGGTCAGAATAATATCTTACGTCGTAATATGAGCAGCGTATCAGCGTCGCAGAAAATACACATACAGACAGAATGTAAACAATCAAAGATCAAGCGCGTACAAACATCAATATTTTATCGACGTCATTGGCCTCGTGCTCTTCGAGAGAGATACGATAAAATTAATATAAAAATTTGTATAATAATAATAATAATAAAAACCTCGAATCTCTGTGGATAGCAATATTCGCAAGTTAATCACGCTTTTCTGTAAATTATCTTATATTTTTTTCAAATTGGATCACTTTGATTCATCTAATGAAATGTAATATCGCGATGTAAAAAAATAAAGAAGTGATCTCGCAAAGTTTTTATTTTATAGCTTTTTCCAAGCGTTATGCAAATAAAAGTAATTATTTGATCGATTCTCTTAAATTTCAATTACAAAATAATTACGAGATTGGGATTACCCGATTTTTATATCAATTATACAAATATTTATGAAAAAAAATTAAAAAATAAGGATTGATATATTTAAATAACTTTGTAAAACTTTTCTGTTTTAATAAGAGCATTATTCATGAGTTTTATCCCTGTGCTTCTAAGTTGTTTTTTAGTATGGAACGAGATTTGTAAAGTTTCATAGCTTCAAGTTTCGAGGCTCCTCATGTGTGTAATAAAAGTCCTTTCAATATTCTCTATGTCATAAAAAAAATAAGTTCGCAGCATATATCGCAGCGTTCGCATGACAAGCCGAATCGATCGTACTTCAATAATCGATTCGTCGCATTATTAGCTACAAATGACTCTTAGATCGAAGAGAAAAGATAGACAGTGGCTGTAGCAAAACTCGTAGAACCAATTTAAGCCGTAAGATAGAGAAAGAGAGAAAGAGAGAGAGAATGATAGAAACAGAGAAAGAGAGAAAGAGAGAGAAAGATATATATGCTTTCAATACTACGATGTGTCGTACAAATACGCGTGACCGCAATTCCTTCTTTCATCATCTCACGTAATACCGAAATCAGGAGGCTCGAGCGCTTATAGCAAATTAATCTAATGCGAAATATATGTAGTTTAAGCAAAATGTTGACTATGCTAAATGCCTCAGCTGCGTTTTATAGTTTTAAAACTATATTTATTTAATCGTCTTAATTGAAATCTTGTTAAATTTTGTAATAAAAATTGAAACTTTTGCGACAAAAACCAAGGTAATATAAAAAAAATTATTTTAATAAAACAAATAATTTATCAGCTATTATGTCTTTTGCAATCATCGAATTACTAAAACGGATCATGTTCACAAAATCATTCGATTACAACGCGGATAGAAAATGTCTTCAATAATTCTACGTATACAAAACTCTATCATTTAAAAGATACTTGATGCAGTCTCTATGCATTCTGACAATTTATTTTATTAAGAAGCCTTTTCTAAAGTTATAAAGTATGAGCGAGTTGGTATGAAAATTATATAAAGTCGTTGTCGAAATCCATTACAATTTTTATTACTGGGATTGTGCTTTCAATAATTCTATCAATGTCTTATCAACTATGCAGAATGTTTCAGAAAGTTTCTTTTTGAAAAAATTTAAATTGGGAACAAGATTATATTCGGAATTACAAACAAAATTATATTTAATATTGGAGATAAAAGATTTTTCTTTCGATAAACTGCTTGTGCGGAAGCTGTCAGAAAAGAAGATATTGATTAAATGTAATCTTCTTGTTTCAATAATAATTTATCCTGCAAAATTTTGACAACGTTGTGAAATTTTGTGCGTCTCTTTTTATTAAATTATAGATATTTATATTATTTACCTGTTTAAGATAATTGATGAGATTTTCAAAACTTTTCGTATAATTAACATAATTGTTTTTTAGTTGTGATTTATAGATAATTTTATTACAACAATCTGAAATGTCATAATGGTTCCGATAAATTTATAATATATAATAAGGATATTGAGGCAAAGGTAGACAATATCTTTGTCTTTTCGTCTCTACTGTCATAGCTAAAATTTCGAATTAGTTGGTCCAAATTAGCACTAACTACTTCACATAATAACGGGAATTTTTTCTACATTTTCGATGTGCGTATATATATATATATATATATACACACACACACACATAAGTTACAGGAAGTGGGAAACGTTTTAAATAGATTTTAAGCGATGTTCGAAAAAAAGGAGTGAAGCCGAGTTAAGCTAGTCTCTTTACGTTCGTCGTCATATCGTGATAAGGGCTTAATTCATGACAATTTTTTTATTCTACCGTAAAGATTTTTCAATCCTTATAGCATATTGATAAAATATGGCTACTTGAATGACCATTAATCGCAAAATAAACAGCAAAACATACAATTATGTCATTTTCTTTACTAACACATATTTTCTTTACTAACTAAAATATAATTATATATTTTACACATTTATCACATACCTATCACAATAACAAATTGTTTTATAAAGAAATAAAAGAAGCTTATATATTTTCTATATGGAACGATCTAAGCCCTTATGCGAAACTAATTCTGTATCACAAACTTCACGTATGTTGAATATACCGTACTTTTGGGATATGTTCTCTCCAAATAATTAATATTATCTATTATTAATATTTTATGCTGATCATAAGCTTCGGGCAACAAACGTTAACTTGGGCACGTTTCCGACAGATGTTTGAACGACGATGCTCGCGTTTAAGAGAAAAAGATACGACGCCCGTCTTCGAGAAAACTCCAAGAGAGCGGGCTGTTATCCCTGACCAAGTCGACCGTGTACGCAAAGTTCACGATCGATAAGTCGCGCACGCACACATGTACGCATAACATGTACGCATAAAGGCATGCTCGCAGCAATGCGCGCATCGGCGTTCAAACGAATCGATCGATTCAATATATAACGAGCGGCACCGTTCTCCCCCGTTGATTTCTGCCCCCAAAAAGCCATTTTCGCGTGACATCAACGGAAATGTTATTTCAATAGTACTACAACCGCGTTTTCCTTTGTCTCAAGTTGCGAAGCCAGAAAGTTCAAGAAGTGGGGTAAATTCGCGATAAAAGCTCTAAATATGTCATTCAGAAAACATACTTGTCGTTCAAGCTTTATCTCTTGGAAACATGAGTTAGTGAAGTTTCATTACCGTTTACAGTTAAAATAAAGCTAACACATAAATACCATCAGTGGATACTACTAGCGATGTTTTTAAACTGTTTTCGAAGCGTAAAAGTGTCACTAATTCGAAAACATCACGACTGTATCGATTAAAAGCAAAGTAAATTCAAGTTTTAATCTGAAGAGCTTACACTTCTTTTACAGCTTTATATCTTTCAGTACCGAACTTGAGATGTCACAAAATATGGAATTTGAATGAAAAAGTTTAAAATGCATTATAAAGAATTTCCTAATAAATTGTATCTCTAACGAACTGTTTCTCGCGATGCAGGAGGATCAACGGTCGGAGAACATCGTACACTCGAAGTATTTATTGTCTCGCGGCTCATGGGACACGTAAATCTGAGACCGCCGCTCGTCTCGTCGACCGTTCTTCTCTGATATACGAGCTTTGGTAAAACTAGTAGCTCCAGTTTGACGAAACGAGCTGTGCGAAATGCCGAATAGCAAGCGGAATGCGGCTGTACTTTGAGATTTTTCGGGATAAGAAAGGAAGATATGCAAGATCACGGAAATTCGGCGGAAAGACAAGTCAAGTGAAAAAGCTCTTTGAGTGCATACGAGGAAATAAAGAAAGGTAGAAGAAAAAAGAAGGAATACTTCAAACCGATATGAATTTTGTACATACGTTTTATAGATTTTCGGCTTTTCGCGTTGTATATTTTATTTAAAGGAATCAATTCGATAAAGAAGAAAAGACGTTTCGTTTCATGCATTTCGCAAAGCTCGTTTGTTTATTTATCGCTAACAGAGAGATCCATAGAAAAACACAATAAACGAAATTTTTACGAGAATAAAGATTTATTTATTTAGTTCATATATTCTATACTTCATAAATTATAACCACCGTTACGTGGTGAGAATTTAATTATGTATATATCTACACAAAGTAGTGTTTGTTCATATATAAAAATGCTTCTGCACTTATCTATGGAGCAACCGAATTAAGATGGGAAAATAGTCATATTCATTGATATTTATCAACGTAAAAAATGGAACGCGTTTTTGAGAATCACGCAATTATCGAGGGACATATTATTCGCGGTATAAAAGCCTCCGACGTACGTAACATTAGAGACTTGACTACGTTTTGAAAAGAATACACAAAAATAACTTACCAAACCGACGAGTAGAAAAAATACTAGGAATGTGCGGCCGAGGACCGTCTGGCAGTAAACGTCGCCATATCCTACCGTGGACATCGTCACGATTAGAAAGTACACACAGGTCCAATACGAAAGCTGTTGTGGGTTCGAGAAGTCGAAAGGGTCCCCTGAGTTTTCAAGCTGCGGGCATGATGTTATTACGTTTAGGACCGTCCTCGCGCGGTGTCAAGAGTGAAATTGCGGTTTATATTGGTTAAGTCATAACCATAAGCTTATACTACTGCGCAATGGTATAAACGTGGAACGTCCGGATCTCTCGGATTTCTGCATACGGGTCGTCTTGGGAAATGTAAAAGGAAGTCGTGAGAAAAAAATATATTATTGAAATGATGTAAGATTATATTCTTATTATATAAAATACTCAAATTGTAAAAATCGTAAAAAAGATAAAACGAGAAATATAAAGATACTTTGTCATTATAATTTTTTCGTGTTGATACAATCATTGAGAAACTGTATATTTGATTTTTGTGTTATCATATTATTACTAGCGTCTATTCATTATTTATAAAAATAGAATTATTACATATTCATATCCTTAAATCGCTGTTTTTGATTTTTTTCAAATATTTTGAAATTTATTAAAAGATTATTCTTATTATATTTTGACAAAAATAAAAAACAAAAAGATTATATATATATTTAAAAAATTATTTTTGTTATTACCAATTAATATTCATTAAAAAATTCTAAATTTTTTCGTATATCTTATGACGCTCTGTGCATCTATAATACATGTATGGTCAAAAATTCCTTTTTATACGTTACTTAAAAGAGTATAGGGGAAAAATGTTATTAATTCAAAAAGACATTTATGTAATAAAATTTTACAATGACGTGTATATTGGGTAAAATATTTTATTTTGAAATTAATATGAATGTAATTTAAGAGATTTAAATTTTGACAATTATATTTGTATATTCATATATGAATATTACATAAGCAACAAGACCTATAAATAGTATTCTTCTCTCTTTACGTTTAGACTTAAATTCTTTATTGTTAGAAAAGAAAAAACTAAATTTTTTACAATTGAATCAATAAGTGCAGGAAGAAGACAAGTCACATTTATCAATTTTTTTTAGGATTAATGAAAATGATTTAATTTTAATTTTAATGAAAAAATTAATAAAATTATTTTTGGGAATTTACATGACATTCAATAATATTTTTAATATTTCCTGGTTTGTGAAATGCATATCTATCTTAAATGTAAAATTTTAATTTCGAATTTGGACTCATTTTCTTTTTGCACTCAACGTTGATAAAAAAAAGTTAAAAATTGTAGTACGTCGCTACAGATTTATCTTAAATTATGTTAAACAATAATTACTTTTTTATATTAAACTAAATGATATAATTTACATAAAACACTTTAGAAACATTGCATGCACACAATTAAAACTTTGACTATTAAAATATCTCTTCTGGTTACTCTTCAAGCTCAATTATTAGTAATTCTCATTAAAAAAGCTTCTACGCTCTGGGATGTAGTGTTCCATTTTTTTTTTAATCTCAAAAAGGGACAAACCCTGGACTAGTGCCCTTTCTGCACTCATTACTCATTTTCAACATCTACTTTAAGCCCTCAAAAGCCTAGGACAAGTGCCCTATTTGCACTGAAAACCATCCCCTATCCACTTCAAGATCGCTTTTCATTTCAAAATCAGTGAAAAGAAAAATTTATCGTCGAATAAAATTGGACTCATCCCCTTTCTCCATTCATCGATTATAGTAAATCACTTTTTAAATAATGAAGCATAAAAAAAAAAGATAAGACTCACCAAATGAATGATGCCAGCAGCGGTTAACCAGACCGAAATGAAGATGGAGACGAGTTGGGCAAGACGAATAGAGCTCGATGTCTTTAGAATGTTAAGGTACTGGAGGATGTCAGGGACCGTCATCAGTCGTAGGGCTCGGAGGAACCTCAGTCCGATCCACGTCCGATCGAGATATATCGACACGAAGGACGGTGGTATCGTAAAGTAGTCCACGAACGAATACATCTCCAACATGAACCACAGCTTGTCACTGGCGGCGATAAACTGTGAGAATCATACAAGAAATAATATTAAACGAACATTGAAATTTAAAAAAAACTAGTCTAGCGAATATTATATATTTTGCGTAAAGAACTCTAGAAAGTTTTTCGTAAGATACAAGTAAAAATCGTCTATGCTTCATATAAAACGCATTATATAAATTTAAAATGTTTTTCGAACGTTCCGAACTTTAGTGAAATTTTATGTGTAAACACTTTTCTTCTTAAGAAATTTATCGAGATGGAACGTTGATACTTTTTATGTGGCAAAACTTGCATATTTTATAGTCTTAATGTTAGCTGAAAAGTTCATTGACAGAAGGAACGGTGATGATCTTACTTACGCGTATAAAAAAGTAGACCATAAAAAATATATTGAAAGCTAAGTCTATCTGCTGAGTAATGTTGTTGCTCCACTTCTGGCAACGCTCCACCACTTCGCTGTAACATAAAAGCACGAGATTGCGGATGTTAGGTCAGCATCTCTTATGAACTCACGCGAAGGTCTCGGTCTTAAAAAAAGCAACGCTGAAAGGGCGACTAAAATAGCAGCGATTAAACTAGCGATTATCGCCGCGCCCTTAATTAAACCACAAGAAAAAGCCATAAAGTGTTGTTATAATATTATCAATACTGCGCAAGAATAAAAACAATATGCATGAATGTTTGTGATAAACTTAAAAGCTACGCATTAACGCCACCGTCGAAGTCTTGTTACTCACCTGGAGGCATCGATGAAGTATATTATAAGCGATGCTATACTGAGAATGAAAACTAACACCACCTGAAACAGACAAAAAACCACATCGTAAGAGATTCTGTCTTTCATCCCATCAAACATTTTTGTCTTTGAATACAAGTACACTTTGAATAAACGTATAAATAAAAATAAATGCTTCGTAATTTTTATTGCGTTTTTCTGAAAAAATAACGTAATCGTATCTTTACCATTTTAAATAATCTCTTCGAAAGATATAACGTACCTTATTTCGTGATTTGATTTATTAGTTTTATGTAAAGATATTGCGATATTGCGATCGATATAGCAAAAGGTAATCAAAGTTGTGCCGAAATAACAATCACAAGAGTTCGCTAACTTGAATCAGTGTCTCATATGGTGTCATTGCAATCTATTCTCATTAGATTATAGTATCGCTTTATTTCCGATATACGCCAGCATCACGTATCGCAAACTCTAACCGATAACTGTCAGCAAATGTGAAGTAACGTTTATGACAGGCGCCAAGATACCCCATACTCGATATCGTGTCAAAGCATATTGGTAGTTACCAGAGAATATTATTAACAATCTATAATGTTAAATTTCCTACGTATAACGACTTTAAAGTTGCGCAAGCTCTCGCAAACAAACCCGCTAATGACCTGATTAAATCCCTCGTTAGACGATTAGCCTTGTTCATCAGTGACTGTCGTCACTGATGACAAGCGATTAATTAAATGGTTGTGCAGTAAATTGTGCAGTCGATGGTGATTTGGTAATCTATCTACCATTTATTCAGAAATATTCTTGTTAGGTATACCAAGTACTGTCGTTTTGCATTTTATTTAATGTAACAATTCATCATTTACAATATCGCGAATGATGAATTGTTACATTAAATAAAATGCAAAATAATAATACTTGACATGTGTATCGGAAAATAATATTGCACCGAGCAATCGAAATCGGTATGACTAAATTCGGTCCTCGACGCATAAAAAATCAGTACGATTATATCCGGCTCTCGGCGCATGAAAAACGAACGTCATCCGAGTTCGGAAATTAATAAAAAAAGAATTTTTATCTTGCAGGATTTTGTTATTGTTTAGCGGATGATAAAATGAGGCGTATAACCCGAATGAATTCCAAGCATTCAGGGTCTATTTATCGCACGCGACGTATATTTAGGTATGCATCGCACAGACACAAAATTGCGAGCTGCGCAGCCACGCCTGTACGTAATTATTGTAAACAATGGCTAGGGCCAGCTCAATGATCGTATGCATGTAAGCACGCGATGCGCCAAACACAAGATCGATGAGCGTTCGTATACAGAATTGAATGCGCGAATCCATTAACACTCCGGCGATCCTTATTATCTCCGTGTTGAAAGGATACCCAAAACGACAGCATTCGATATTTGATACCTAATTATTGATAAATTAAATAATTGGATAAAGAATTGCATTACCTCGCGAAGGTTTGGTAAACGAATCAGTGAAATAAAATATTGATTAATTTATCTATATACTTTGGAATATTATATTCTGAGAATTTATCTAACATTATGCGTAAAAATTCGTTGGCGTTCATAGTTCACACTTAAATGGAAATAATGAATAATTTCCATGTTATATAAGACGATATGACTTATCTATTCCTTATAGCGGTTATTATCGGTATATCTACATTTTATAGCGACATATTTCATCTTTCCCATAGCTGTAATAGATCTTCACTTTTCTCGGAAAGATAAAACGTTTTTATTATCAGAAATAAAAGTTATAAGAAAGATATAAAATAGTAAAAGATACAAAAAAGTAGTCAAAAGCGCATTTCAAATTTAATACCAAAATATAAAGGGCGCTTCAGTTAAAATTATTTGCAAAGGTTAACGTTAAATGTGATAATTTTGATGCACAATTTATTTAATTTATTGAATTCTCTACATATCCCAGACAAAACGCAATATTTTTGTGGTCTTAAATTGCACAGATCATAAATATTTATTATAAATATTATAAAATATTTATTGTAAATATTGTAGTAAAATATTTAGTCTATATTTTGATAATATTTCGAATAAAGCTTTATATAAAAGAAAAAAATTTTATATAAAAGATATATAAAATGTTAAAAATTTTATATAAAAGATATATAAAATGTTTATATAACATTTCAAAAAATGAATAGTAATAAATATTTATCATAAATATACTGTACTATCTAGGACGTGCAGCTAATATATATGATAATAAAAAAAGAAAGTTGTTTATGTTAAAAGTTAATAATTTATGTTATTTTTCTTATTCGTTACAGTATGAAGTTACGGTTATGAGAAAAAGATATTAGTTTTTCATGAAATGTTATTCTCCTTGCACAGTTTATTAGATCAACATATCATCTGGGGCAAAAGTTGTTCTTCAAAAGTTACTTTAAGCAAGACGATCTTACATCGGCGTGTCACAATTTAGCACGTGTAATTTCCCTATCAGTCTTTCCAGCTACTTTGCAACTACTTTGTACCATCTATACGTAGCGCCCTTCTCGTGTGTGAATCCTCTTTTATAAATCTGTATAAAGAAAGAGGCGAGAAGATACAAATCTGCATAAACTAATTATAAAAGGAAAAGAAGAAACATAAGGGAGAGAGGACAAAAAGAAAAAGGGACATAAAAACAAAGCGAGAAGGAGAACCTAACCAGCATACCACGCGATATTCCTGACGCGTCTCATGAGAGTGAAACTATACATAGGCACCGCTCGAAAATAGACAGTAGGTGCGGCCCTCGACAGAATGATGTAGACAAGAAGTGGGAGAGAAGTCACGAAAGAAGAACGAAGTAGCGATAGTGGCGAAGAGC